AACATGAATAAATGACAGGAAGAAACAATAGATGTCTATGGGAGTATTGGTGTAAGATAAAAAATGTGAGTTGAACAAGCGTTCGTTGCCCTGGTCATTTTGGGAAAGAGCATCCTATCCTCAAATTGGAAGGAGCTGCCCCGTAATCCTCTTGTTAAGATTCAAGAAGATAAATCCAGCGCTTCGTCTGTGATAAGATATATAGGTAGAAACTGGTAAATTGTTTCTTTACTTTACTTTACTTTATTGATCGATTGTCTGTTGGACTAAGGATTCAGTTATAGAAAGTTTCTATGTAAGAGTTCTGGCCCCTGCTCACTGCATATATAACACTTTTCCAACCAAAATATATAATTTTTTAACTTTTTATATTCTAGTTTATTTATTAAAATAAAAAATTAAATTAAAAATTCTTTTGGGAAATCTTATTTAATCAATCAAATTTTATAGAAAAATAAATAGAATATTTTTTTCTAATTTTTTGAATAGGATTTGAAGAAGTTAAAATTGAAAATTCTAAAATTTCTTGAAAACTCGCTTATTTTGTATAGAAAAAACGTTACATATTAGAATTTTTGAAAAAATTGGATTTCAATACTATATAACTATTCAGCAAAAATAGTGAAAAATATTTCGAAAAATATTTTATATTTTGATTATAATTATTTATTATTTTAGATTTTTTTGAAAGAAAAATATAAAGATTTAAATAAAATATTTAATATAATAATTTATATGAGAAAACCTTATTTTTGCAAGGATTTTGTTACATTTGTTATAGGGGTGCAATGAATAGGTTCCAGAACTCTTACAAGAGAAGCATACATAGATATATTGATGTAGCTTCTAGACGTGCTCCTACAAAAATGGGAAAGTATCTTAGAAACTGACACTGCAATATCACCTACCCAGTATCTGTTTACAGATCTACTATGTATATAGATTTTATCAGGGCACTTGCCTATACATCAATAATTCGTTCTGATTTCTCAGTCAATTGAGCTTGCGAATTGGAATTTGGGGATGGGATGAAGATTACTTAGTGGGTTCGCACATATCTGGATTGACTTCTCATAACTCCCATTCCTACTTGAAAGTACCAGTGTAACATTATTTTGCGTCTCAACGTCCCATTTCATGATACCCAAAGCTTGAATGAAGTCTCATAAAACACACACACCAAACCTTATGAGAATGCTATCGGTAAATCTCCGGCCCGCAGAGCCTCACATCCTCGCTTGACCCCGCATTCACGCTAAGGAACACCTGAACTGAACTTAACATCTGATCAATTAAGATTCGCTCATCAATTTCAAGCTCCTACGATTTTGTCACAACTTGCGCCAATCCACCAAGGTTCACCATCCACCAACCAATTATTTAAGCAACTACAAATACATACATTCGATTTCAGCGTCCATCGACCGCAAAGAAAAACAAAATGCCACATTTAGATACTGCCCAAGAATGGCTCACACAATCTTCGCTGTTGCTAAAAGCACATCCTAGTACCGTACGTGTTCCCCCTCTTCCTCGCAATTCTTCCCCTCCCAATCAAATCAACCAAGCTAACCCTCCCTCTCTCACACAGACCCGCATAACAACTAAATACACCCTTCTGCACGCACCTTCCTCCCCCCACGCCCCCTCCACCACACACTCCACAGCCACCAAACCGCGCCTACCCAAACCGACCTCCCAACCCTCCACCTCCGTAAAACCAGAATCCCAACCACGCGGTACCCTCACCCTCACAACTTTCAACCCTCACTCCGGCGTAAACCTCAAATACACCACCAACAAAGCTGCAGAAGTATCGCGCCTCATACAAATCATGGGACGACTCGGAAAGCTCATGTGCGGATTACCCGAAACGGACGAGAAAGAGGGGTTGGGGGAGATTAACATGGCTGAGGCGCCAGCAGAGGAGGAAGTGGATGAGAAGAAGGATGCTGGAAAGGGACAAGCGCAAACACAGACGCAACCACAAGGTGGAAAAGGAAAGAAGAAGAAGGGAAAGAAATGAATTGTTGATTGAGAGACTTGATCATTCAGGGGGGTGAAGGAGAAGAGGAAGATGAAGAGGATTCATCTTTAATTGGCTGATTCAGTAAAAGGTCTGCGCATTTATTTTGCATCTTCTCTTCTCGACAGAGATAAAATTCATGCATTGCATCACAACAGTTACCACCATATCGTCAATGGATCCTCCCTTGCTCTTTGGCGAACTTTGAGGGCTGAGATGGAAACCTGTATATAATATGGATTCAGTTGTGCTAGTGCGGACATTAAGTACCTATACTATGGAAGTTTGCATGGCGAGGATGGCAGTGGAGGTATGGTCATAGAAGATATACATGCGCGTCTTTTCGATATATCAAAACATCCCAAAAGCTATCCAGGAAAATGATACCAAAGCCAGTCAGATGCAAGGCCGGTGAATCACAGTTCCATCACAGCAAGCGCAGATAAGACCTCATGTGAGTGAAAAAGTGTATTCGTTAACGCTAACTAGTTATATCATCAATTATCCTATCCATCCATCCCATCATGGTATACTCCCACCACGATATCCCTATCAATCCCTCATCTATGTCCAAATGACATTTGTTGTAAAAATTCATATTCATGCCCGCCGCCAACCCAAAGTTTTCCCAACACCACAACTCCTTCATGTCAAACTATTTGTACAAACCACCAACCCGCAACACATCTATGTATGCAAGCCCCGTGTAGAAGTGAAGAGTTATACAAAGACAAACGCCAAGCCATTCATCTTGACATAAAAAGTAAAAGAAAAATAGAGGTAACTTTCAAGACAGCATCTAGAAGTCTTCGTCAAAGTTGAAGTCACCTCCATTCTCTGCCTTGGCCTCAGTTTGTGCCTCAGTATCCTCGTGTTTCTTTTGAGTACCGGCCATAACACCAGCCTTTTGGTAATCACCAACTCTCTTCTCGAAGAAGTTGGTCTTTCCAGCCAAGGAGATGTTCTCCATGAAGTCGAATGGGTTGGCAGATTTGTAGTACTTGTCGTTACCCAAAGAAAGGAGAAGACGGTCAGCAACGAACTCGATGTATTGCTTCATGAGGTTTGAGTTCATTCCCAAGAGAGCACAAGGAAGAGCCTCGGTCAAGAACTCTTGTTCAATCTCGACAGCTTCGGTGATGACGTCTTGAACGGCTTGCTTGGATGGGCGGTGCTTAAGATGGGAGAAAAGGAGGCATGCGAAATCGGTGTGAAGACCTTCATCACGGGAGATGAGTTCGTTGGAGAAAGTGAGACCGGCCATGAGACCACGCTTCTTGAGCCAAAAGATGGAAGCGAAAGATCCAGAGAAGAAGATACCCTCAACAGCAGCGAAAGCGACGAGACGTTGAGCAAAGGTGGAGTTCTTGTCTTGAATCCACTTGACAGCCCAGTCGGCCTTCTTCTTAATACAAGGAACTATCGAGGATGTTAGATGAAATACTGCAGATGAAGTGAGAATGGTTGTAACTTACTGGTCTCAATAGCGTTGAAAAGATATGTCTTTTGGGATTGCTCCTTAATATATGTGTCGATGAGAAGGGAGTATGTTTCGGAGTGGATATTCTCCATCATGATTTGGAAACCATAGAAGCATCTAGCCTCTGGGATTTGAACTTCACCACTGAATCTCTCAACCAAGTTCTCGTTGACAATTCCATCAGATGCTGCGAAGAATGCGAGGACGTGGGAAATGAAGTAACGCTCGTCGTCATTGAGTCTCTCATTCCAGTCGTGAAGATCCTTTGACAAATCAATCTCTTCTGCGGTCCAGAAAGATGCCTCTGCCTTCTTGTACATTTGCCAGATCTGTTCGCATTATATGTTAGCACTATACGCGATGACACGTGAAGAGATAGACGCGACTTACCTCATGATACTTAATGGGGAAGAGGACGAAACGGTTTGGGTTTTCTTGAAGAAGAGGCTCATCTGCTTCTTCTGGCTTGATTCCTGGAGCAACTGCAACAACCTTTTGTTCTTCGACAATTGGCTTCTTGACTTCTTCAACAATTGGCGCGTCAGCGTCAAATGCTGAGTTCTCTTTTCCTGCAAAGTTGATCTTCTTGACGGGTGATTCCATCTTCATGTTTTTGATGCCAGAGGCAGCCTGTACAAGTTCCAAGTCAGTATAGTGTTGACGCGTAAAATGAATAAATGGAGGGGTGGCGCGTGAAAACGTACAGTCTTTGAGGGAGTTTCTTGGAGACTCATTGTGATTTAATAAATTGAGAGTAAAGAAGTCTTTGATTGTCGGTATGTAGAATATGTATAGAAGAAAGAGGTCGAGAAGTTGTTTGACTTTATATGTTGTGTTGAATAGAAAGTATGTATGTGAATGGGTCCGAGGATGAACAAGAGAAACCGCGTTCTTAAGAGCTTTTCGGTACGCGTCACGTGCCTAAATAATCAACGCGCTAAGTTTCGCGTTCGCGTTGAAAAAAAGGCTGGGAAATTTGCAACGCAATGTACATTGATCACCGAACCACTTATTCCACTCAATCAACCATTCAGCTCATTCAATTGAGTTCCACCTAATGCCAAGCAAACTTATCAGATCTTAATCCCTGAAGATCAATAGGAAACCACGGTGACGCGTGAAGTATTGGTGAAAGTCTTGATAATGGGTGGAGTAAAATCAGTCATGATGATTCAGAAATCAGTACATCTGGATTTGAATAGGCTTCAATGGAATACGATGTGGAGATTAAGATGTTTATCGGATTGAATGGAATTCCACTTTCATTAATTTGCATCTATGGTATGGTATCTTATATTACATCTAAAGCCCCGCGCCTAAACCAAATCTGTTTTCTTGTTACTTATAAACCAAGGCGTCATTAATTACTGAACAAACAAAGGGAATCGTGTCGGCATTAAAAAAATCGATCCATCCTAGAACCTTTCCGGGACCCTTCAAATATGGAACGTTCCTAGAACATCCTTCAAACTCAAAATAGCAATCACAATTCCTCTAACGTCTACCACTCTTCCTAACCTTCTGAGGACGAGCTGGAAGTGGAGGATCTTGCGCGTCTGTTCTATCACGTCGACTTTGATCGACTTCGGGCTGTCTTGTTCGCTCCGATCTTTTGACACGACGTCCTTGTTCGGGATCAGGTTGTGTCGTTCGCTCTACGGGTGCGCTACTGCCATATCCGAACCAACTGTGACGATTACGTCCACCTGGCTCACGAGGACTGACGGTCTCCGTGTTTGCTCTGGATGTATATCGTGGAGGTTCTTCATCTGAGAGTTCCTGATCATAAAGATCGAATTCATGCGGATCGGTAACGTCAACGGCAGGTAGTCTTTCGCCTCTTGCCTTCAATATTTTCGCACCTTTGTCACGCAAATGTCTTTCAAGCTCGAGCGCATTTCTAGTATTGGCGCGGAAAACTGCATCGACAAGATCTCCTGCGAATGGTATGAGACCAACGGCAAAATCGAGCGCGATATTGAACATCATTTTAGATCTGACACTGTTTGGAAGTCCGCCATCAACTTGACTGCATGTTCGAAATACCATAAGCGCCATGAACAAATCAATAACGTCTCCAATACTATTTTTTATCAGTAAAGCTTTTCGTGGGGAGGGAAAGAACCTACGCAGGAACGAGACCTATGACACTGCTCCATCCAAATCTAATTCCACAACAATTGAAGAGACTCATGTCTAGTCTATAAGCTCGGCGCTTGACTTTGGTAAGAACCTTTGCATCTTTTTCTGATATGCCAGCAGGTATGGCTTTTCTTCTCTTTTGTGTCTTCTTTTTTGATGGCACACCGTCCAAGCGAGAAGCAGGAACAGTTTCAAAGTACAAGTCCTGAAAAGCTGTCAGCAAATTATTTCTTCAAGAGATGGGCGTTTTGTGAACTGGTATTTTACCTCTGATCCGAACTTGTTCGAGACTGATTCCCCCAGGAATTTTTTACTGATGAATTTTGCTGCAAATGAAGCCATAATTGTATTGTGTGAGTAAGTGTGGCTAAAAAGCAGAATTGATTGAATTTCGGAAGGATATTCTTCTCTTTAAGAAGTTATTTCAAAACCGAGAGCTGACAAACGTCTTGCCCGCTGTGTTAGGGGGTTTCTGTAAGTTTTGTTTGTTCTTCGTTTCGTTGGTGGTTGTCGATTATGAGTGGTTTCAGAAAGCGCTTGATAACAACTATTTTTGGATTGTCCCAGTTTGACGCATGAATATGAATGTCTTTGGATTTCAATGAATAGTAAATAGAAATAGAAAATGTCTTTGAGAGAGATACCGACCCTTTAAATCACTTATCCATAAACTCTTTCTTAAAAGCTTGCAATAAAGCTTGATTTGCATTTATCTTTCATGCTGGCAACTTTTTTGTCCAAGATTCGACTGCGCCCCTGTATTGCTGTATCAAAATAACGTCATCCGACACCTAGAACTGCAGATCTGAGGGACCACCGGTGAAGAGTGAAGAGTAAACCTTATTTTGCCGAGTCAAAGCTTTACTTGTTTTGATCTAGTTAGGTATCTTCAGGTATCATGGATAGAGTCACGTGATAGAGTGGCTGAGGAGATGTGGCGTTGGGTACAAATGAAATTGTGGCTTTCGAGCTCCCTATTTCGGTTTCAAACTTCACCTGGGCAAATCAAGCTCTTGACTCAGCCTCATTATTTATCCCCAACCGTATCAACAACCAACTCATCCACTCACAACTCCACATTTCACGACCTTCAACAACAGTAGTAAGCTCACGTTAGTTTGTGGTCGCCCTATCTACTGGAATAAGATTCGCAAGCTTTCTTATCAGATAGATCATTCCATTTACTCTGTGTTTGCCACAAAGTCTTCATATTTATATCATTTTGGTTTTAGGTTGTTTTGGCCTAAGCGTTTCTGCGCGTCCCCCGCCCCGAAAAGAAACTCGAGTCGTGGATATGCTTGTGACGCGAAGACAACATGACAGACAGAAAATTGCAGCTAGAAGACTGTAAGTATTGAAGATAGCTTTGTCAAGTAGACTCTTCTATCTTTTCCTATCTTTCTCATTTCGAGAACTCTCTCGCCTTGTTCAAGTCCAGCCTCAACGATGTTGATATTCATTCCCATATACTTTGACTGACCACATACCATATTTCCAGGGCTGGACGACCTTTGTGTTCGATTCATAATCAATATTCCTGCGGCTGATTTATCGCACGTTCCTCGAATATGCTTTCAAGTCGAAGAAGCGCAATGGTACTACGAAGATTTTATCCGGCCTCTGGACCCAAGCCTACCCTCGATGACCCTTCGTAACTTTTGCCTCAAGATATTTTTACATTGCCCTTTACTTTCAAACTTTTCAGAAAGTATACATATGCGAGCTTTTGAGGAGTTTCTTCTATACAAGACCCGAGTCCCAGTGAGGGGTGTGATTCTGTTGAGCGCGGATATGGATGAAGTCGTTCTTGTAAAGGGTTGGAAGAAGGGTGCAAATTGGAGTTTTCCCCGTGGAAAGATTAATAAAGATGAGGACGACCTTACATGTGCTATTCGAGAAGCATACGAAGAGACTGGTTATGACCTTGAACAGTCAGGGCTCGTTCCCAAAGATCGAAGTCTAGTTAAAGGCATCGATGTTACAGGACATGGCCAACAGATCAGATTATACGTTTTCAGAAACGTTCCTAGGGAAACCTATTTCGAGGCACAAACTCGTAAAGAAATTAGTAAAATTGATTGGTGGAGGTTATCTGATCTTCCAGCTTATCGAAAGAAAGGGCAGCAACAAAATCAACCAGAGGCTGCCGCGAACGCCAACAAGTTCTACATGGTGGCACCATTCCTACCTCCACTTAAGAAGTGGATCTTAGATCAAAAGAAAAAGGATGCAAGGACGGCAGCTAACAACCAGCACTTGGAAGCTGCAGGAAACATCAGCCACGATGAAGGTATCACTGAGGACGATCAACTGGTTGAACCAAGCATAAATTATAATGCACCTGTGTCGCATGATGCTGAACGGACTAGACGCAATGCTGCCGACCTAGCTCTTTCTGCCATAATGCAAGTTCAACCATCCACTCAGGGACTACAACCCAATGCCATTAATCCTGCGCAATCACAAGCTTCGCATAGCTCAGGGCAGCAGTTGCTTGCTCTTTTACATAGTAAACCTCCTGCGGATCAACCACCACCAACTCAACCATATCCGCAAACACCTTTAGAAAGTACCATTACCCAAATACCTTTCCCTAAAACTCCTCATCATCAGGTACCTCGCCCTTCACACATCTCAAATCAACCACCTCCACCTACTTTCCCACTACAACAACAGCAAGAGCAACGTCCAATGCATAATTATTCCTACCAGCAACCCGATCTCCAAGTTCGTTCTGACCAAAGGTCTATGCCCAATGCGCAATATCGCCATCAAATACCACAGCAAATTTCGCAACGAATGCCAGCTCAAATGTCACATCAATTCTCAGCGCAGATCTCCCAGCAACCGCCACAACACATATTACAGCATGCTCCGCAACATATATCTCAGCAAATCCCGCAGCATATGCAACCACAACTTCCACAGCAGCGAGAACGTCATCCATATCAACCCACTTTGATTCATCCTCAGCCACTCCCTCCCAATGCCCAGAAAGTGTTGTTTACCGGAGGTCCGGTACATTCAACAATGGTGCCACAGCATATTCAGCAACAACCTCCGCATCCCAATTTTACGACTTCTGGCCCTATGCCCCCTCCCCAATTTCCCAATGTACATTCTACCATGGTTCCACCGCAACCAAAGGAAGCACCGGCTGCTGCACTCACTAGTCATTCATTGTTACTTTTAAACGCGTTCAAGACTCGCGACGAAGTAAATGTAAATATCACTTCCAACTCTTTGATTTCTGAAGGCCCGACTCAGCCTCATCCGAATACTACGCTGCCTGAAGCTCTTGAGCTTCCAGGAGAAAGTTCTCGCTCTATTCCTGTTCATATTTCTACAGAGGCAGCTCAATCGACAAAGTCTCTTCCTACTATGAAAGGAGGTGTTCCTAGTACGGCTAGTCAGAGTCAACCAGCTCGTCCCCCCATCAGTGAAAACCAACGATCAATGTTATTGGGTATGTTCAAAAGTCCTGCAGTTCAACCGGCAACGCTGGCTACGGCATCAGCTGCTGTAGTTCAACCATCCAAATCACCTTCAGCGGTGGAATTGAGCGCAGTAGAAGTTGCTTCGCCACCCAAAGTTCCACGACAAACAGCTACCAAAGAAAATACTCCAATCGGCAGAGCTAGTCACGAGATTCCAGAAATGAACCCTGAATCAAACCTTCCATTTCGAGCTACGTCAATCCTTGCTCGTCCAGTCAATGGAAATAAAGATACTAAATCATATGGGAGTTTGCCCAAGAAACCGGCCACTAGATCAGAGATGCCCAACAGTAGCAAGAGGTCTCCATCAGAGAAATCATTTCAGCCACAAATCCTCAAAAGGCCACAAGCGAATACAGTCAAAGCTTCCCCACTTCTTGGAGCTTCCACCATTGCTGCTTATTCGCCGAACCTTGCACCATCTAATCTGGCCGGCCCATCGACATCTCCACTATCCTTTACCTCCCAAGCTCCCCAGTCAACCGAACAAAAGCATGCTCTGTTGTCATTGTTCGGGAAATCGCCTACCCCCGCTGCCAGTTCGGTATTCGGGAAATCACCAATGGCAGCTTCTAGTTCAATGTCTAGAACATCTTCGCATGATGGACCTTCTTCTAACCATCTCATAGATGCCACGAGAAGTGCTGCATCCAGATCTAGAGTCGGAAGTCTGGCATCAGGAAACGGCGAGGGCTCGTCACGCCGTGGAAGCCAAGCACCAATATCCCCAGCCGACAAAGGCTTCTTATTGAATTACTTAGACGCAGTTGCTAGTAGGGGTTATTGAAGGAGGTCATTTAAGGTTGTATCATCTTTTTCTTTTGTTTTGCATGGTTTTGGCATTTCAATGGGAGTTTGGATTTGGTAGCATTCGGAGCATTCGTTCGGTGATATCCAAATACCCAGATTTGCCAAAGCTATGCGGTTGCTTGCTTTACTAGTAAAATCATAAACAGTTTCTACATTTTACCTGAGTATGTGAATATGAAGTGATTGGAAGAGTTCACTGTAATGTTTGATTGTAATATAGTGACATTGATTATGCAGGTAATTGCCCCCCACCTACTCGTAACCAGACATGATGCTGTAAGTTTCAGCCAATCACCACCAGCCTATAGATAACTCGTTATTACGTCATCAACATCAACGAGAATTGAAGCTTCATTACATTATTTCCAATCCGAATAAAATTATTGCCAAACTCCATGCTATACTTCCATAATTTGGAATGACAATCCCACAGAAACTCATCATGAAACCGATATCAAAACTCATGTCTAAAAGACCAATTACTGTTCATGCAACAGCATACATATGTACATTCTGCTCCGCTCATGCGATACCGAGGACTCGCAAATACTCTTCTACTCCTTCAAGCTCCCTCCCCGCCTCAACTAAAACTTCAATACAACCACAATCCCAAGCCCAATCTGGTTTCCATATGTTAGTCAAGAAAGGCATCACGCGCCTCTCGACCCGTAGACTTATTTCATTGAGAGGACCCGATTCGATGAAATATCTGCAGGGAGTCATCACGAATGATATTTATAAAGAGGGGTTAAATTCGGATAAGCAGGGATTCTATTCTGCATTTTTGAATGCGAAGGGAAGGATGTTAAATGATGTTTGGATCTATAAGGATCTGTATGCGGATAGAGGGAAATATGGGGAAAAGGGAAAAGAGGGAGAGAATTGGTTGATTGAAGTTGATGCAAAGGAAGTGGAGGTATTGGCGAAACATATCAAGAGATATAGGATGCGTGCGAAATTCGAGGTTGATGTTGTGAGTGAGGAAGAAATGGGGGTTTATAGTTGTTGGGGAGTCGAAGAGGGGTCTGAAATGAA